TTATAAAGGCTGCCAAATAGGCTACCAACTCTCGCCAAGCCAGCCTGAAATGCCACCTCCCCCAGGAAGCCCTCCCAAGGCCAATGAATCTGTAACTTCTCCAAAAATAATGGGCGAAATCCTCCTGTTGGCCTCTCTACTCTGTACTGAGGTTTGTTTATCCTATTGTGGAGCAGGAACAAAGTGGCCATGAAGGTGTGAGGGCTGAGTCTGGGACTTGGTCCCTCTCTGAGAAAGGATGAAGGGTGCTGGGTAGAGACTGGGGCAACCTCAAGCCACACGTGTGGATCACCCAATCCAGAATCCCTGCTTGCAGCTCCTCTCCCCATCTCTTCGGCTGCTCCTTTCCTCTATACTCTTGACCCTGAGCATTTCAAGGCTGATGTGATTTATCTAGATCCTCGTTGTGACTCATGGCTGTCTCCCCTGAGACTGGGAGCTCCTCTTGGACAAGGGCTTGTGTCTGTTCTTACAGGACCTAGCACAGTGCATACAGTGAGTACCCCCCAAATGCTTGGCGATTGAATGAGAACCATGATTCAATCCAATTTGCCTGGAATCGAGCTGAGGCTTAAATCTCCACAGAGAAAAAAGGATGAATTTCAGGTCAAACTGATACTTGAGTGAGGCGGGAGTTAAGGTCTCTCTGGTGGAATAGTTCTGTTTGCGCCCTCTAGGAAGGACAGGAGAACCCAGAGTCAGGTCTAGAACCAGTCTCCTTACAGAGGATGCTGCCCCGACAAGAAGCCTGGGCTCTGAGGAGTAGGAAGCCTGGGTGTCACTGGGGGCCTGCAGCACAGGAGGGGTTCCTAGGGAGGGGAAAATCTAGCTGTGGCCCAGGTCTTTGAAAGTCTGCTTTAGTCTCCTGCTTGGTAGGACAGTCTCCCTTACTTCCCACCTCCACTCCGACCAGCAGAGAAGACTCACACAGAGAAATAGAAGGCCAAGCAGGAAAACACTCAACCCATCCATCTAGATGAAGGACACAGCATAGCATCTGGGAGTGGGGGTACCAAGTTGAAAACAAAAATGTCTCCCGCTTTGCAACACAAGGCTGGATGATTAGCACACAGGGAAAACCATGAGCCAGCAGTTTGCAACAAAGCTGGCAGGCGGCTGGAATGTTGATCCAGAGGATCATGTTCCAGAGGGGAGATACCCCTCCCCAGGCCAGGCTGGTGCTCAGTGAGGCTATTTCAGGCCAGGGGGATTAAGGGTGAACCATGACGAATGCATGTGCCTGTGTGTGCGCGCGCGCGCACGCGCGCACACACACACACACACACACACACACACACACACGCTCCTTTTCTCTCTCCTCTCCCATAAAGGCTCCTGTGTCTTGAACCCAAGACCTGCCTCCTATACTGAAAGTCTCTGGTCCCTGATTCTTAGCAGCCCTAGGCCTCTCCTTCCTGGGAGAGCCCATGCAAGTCCCCGCCCCTACCTTAGTGCGACAATGACAGGGGCCTGTCCTGGGAAGGCTTAAGAGATGTGTGAGTGTGCAGGCAGGCCGAGGGATGGCCAGAGAAGGCAGGAGAGCAGGTTAGGAAGCTCCGCCATAGTCTATGTGCAATTACCATATTTACCCCCGAAGCCTGAGCAAAGCAGGCAGTGGCAGTCAGAGAAAATGCAGGGCCAAGTTTGAGTAATACAATAGGAGCCGCACATAGCACATCCTACTGACTTTCCCGCCTCCTCATACCCTGGCTGCATACTGAGCCACATCCATTGTCCTTTCACTTGCTCTCACTCTTGCTGCTGTTCCCCTCTCCGTCCGTCCTTCTGCCCCGTCATTCTCAGTCTCGTCTCCCTTTTCCTGGGTTTGTGTCTCCCTGTCAAACTGTTGCTCTTTTCCTCCAATTCTTCAGCTTGTCTCTACTTCCCTCCTGAATGTTGACCCTGCATATCTGGCTTTCTTTCCCTTTATTTTTCTTCCTATTTCTCCTTTCCTCCTTTGGCTTCCCCTTGCCCCTGGCCCCCCAACTTTCTCTCTCTCATTTCATTATTTATTTCAGTAAATACTTCCTGGCCATCTATCTTGCACAAGACCTTGTGGTAGCCACTGCTGGGGTCACAGGGAGAGTACACTAGGACTCTGAAGGGATGAGTCTATTTCAAGACGACTATCAGTAGGCAGAGGCTGAGAATGGCTGCTTTTGGTCTATAATAAGGTGATTTGGTGATTTCAAACATGTCAAATACTGTCTCTGCTCAAAAAGTGTTATCTAGGATAGGAAAATGAGATGAACACAAGCATCTATAATATAAAGTCACAGTGACTTTTGCTGTATCGATGGCTCAGCAAGCTGCCGTGATTAGTGGAGTGCAGGAAGTGTCCATTCTGGATGGGGCATCAGGGAGGCCTCCTGGGTGAGCAGCCTTGTTCCTACCTATGGGGAAGAAGCTGGGTTTGGTTGTGCGGAGATGATGGGGTTGGGGGGGAGGTGTCACCCAAACAGACAGGCATGGAATGATGGTCACAGTACCTCGAGCAGTCAGATTGGCCCAGCCAGGAAGGCTGAAGCCAGACCTAGGAGGGCCTTGAATGTCAGGTGAACAGAAGTGAAGGCCCTCCCTCCCACCCCCAGGGGCATGGCAAGCAGGGTTTCTGAGCAGGCAAATGACATGAGCAAAGGTAGAAAGACGAATCCAGCAGTAGAGGCTTAAGAGATGCATGGGTGTGCAGGTGGGCTGAGGGATGGCCAGGAGAGCAGGTTAGGAAGCTCCTGCCATAGCCTATGTGTAATCACTGTATTTACCCCTGAAGCCAGAACAAAGCAGGCGGTGGCAGTCACAGAAAATGCAGGGACAGAGTTTGAGTAATACCAAGTAGGAATACCTCACTAAGTGTCTTTTCTCTTTCTCAGTGCCTCGCATCCCCCACCCCCCACCGCCCAATTGTCTGATTCCTCTTTCCCAGCTGATCAAGGGCCCTTCTGCAGTGGCTACCCCGGGGCCAGCTTCACTTCCAGGCAGAGATCTGATGCGTCCAGTGATAGGAATCAAAATTCTTTCCCCTTTCCTCAAAGCTCAGAAGGCTGAGTGCTGGGATTCCCCAGGGGGACTGATTTTTGCAGGTGACGGCATCTCTGAGACCTTCACCATCCAGAGCCCACGTTATCCTTTTCTGCAAACCCCACTTCTCCAGTGACCCTGTTTCTGCAGACTGACTTGTCAGTCTCAGACCTCCAACCCTGCGGGGGTTGAGGTGGCTGCTAAGCCCTCTGCCCCTCCTTCCTTCCCCCACTACCCTGGTGCACCCCCAGCTCCAGAGCCCGAGGTGGAGTTGGAGGGCCCAGGAGGGGAAATCCAGTGCCTCTCCAAGGACCTGATTATTTCCAAAGACTTGTGCTAATTTTCTGATATGATCCTCACATCTCTGTGAGGCACTAAATCCTCATTACTTTTCCTGACCGATGCATTCTAATTAGATCAACACTTAAAAAAAATTCACAATAGCCACAGGATGGCTTTCCATCTCATTAACTCCTCACTTATTATTTTCATGAAAATTACTGATAAAAATGTGCATCTCCATTTGGCGAGGCCTCACAGCCTCCTCAGCTCCTATCTTGCATCTCTCCCATCACCGGGACTGCGCAGCGTCACCATGGTAACCCACAATAATAGAAACTAATAAATTACAAACGAGATGCTCGTTGAGCAATTATTGTCCTCTTTTATGCAAGTTTCTTGCTAATTTTGATCATAAGGGAAAGTACAATAAGACTCTGAAGGAATGAGTCTATTTCAAGAGAATATTAGCAGGCAGAAGCCTGGGCGGGTGTTTTTAGATCTGTAATAAAGTGACTTGGTGATTTCAAGCAAGAGGAAGAGGAAGTAAACTTCTTGCCCTACGTCCTGGGCAGTACTCACTACCGAGTCTCAAAGAGCCCACTGGGGTGGGTTGGATGTGATACCGAGTGTATCTTTTGTGCTTGTTTTCAAGATGTGCAAAGCGAGGCTGGCCTTCTAGAAGCAGCCTGTCCCCTCCCCTGACTCTACCAATCTGGGGAGACAGAGTACATGGGTGGTTCCTCAGGGGTTTAGGGACAAAAATGTCACAGTCTTTGGGACTACTTCCAGCACCGCTCGGCACTCACTTCTAGAAAGTTTACCTGCATCCCCATGCCTGACTGTTTAATGAGAAGAGGCTATGGAGGACTCCTTGGGGACTCTCCAGGTGTCTTCCAGGACTTGGGAGCTCAGTGGAAGGGAAACAAAGTCTCAAGCCTGTGGCTTACGCAGATGCCCATGAGTTGGGTGGGAAGGTATTGCCAGGCAGCTTTCTTGGTTTGTAGGTTTGGGGAAAATATCCTGCCCTGGAGGAGAAAGCCCGTTCTTGCCCAAAGTGTGTAGTCAGCTTTTCTGCATTTCCCAGGTCTCAGGAAGGAGGGGGCAGGGGAACCTGGGAACAGGGTGGTTTGAGGTGACATTGACCATGGCCCTGAACCTTAGGGGGACAGAGATGCCAGAGTAGCGTGAATGCCTGGAGAATGATTAGGGAGCAGCAGGCCCATGGGAAGCTGGCTTCACCCATTAGGTGGAAAGGATTCAGGGAATGACTGCTTTCCCCAAATGCCCATTCCCAGAAACGCAGATGGCTCAGCAAGCCACAGCCTCTTAAGAAGCTTGTGGGGCTGGGATGTCTGAGCCCAGTCCCAGCTCATCCTCCAGGAGAGTTTCTGTCTCCTTAGCGCTGGTGCTCATTCTGGGGGATACCTTGGGCCAAGAAGCCAGGAATGACTTTGGATCCCTCTCCGATCTGGTCATTTTCAAGGGAATACTTATGCCCTGGCAGGACAGAGTGTGTGTAAAAAAGGGATTGGGTGTCCTGATGGATATGAAGAGGAATGCATCAGAGGAGGGCCCTCATGGCAAAGGAACCCAGTGAGTCTAACCCAATGAAGGTCGCCAGGGGACCTTCCTTCACGCCTGGCTCCAGAGCTGGGCTTAGGAGCCTGGCTTAAGAGATGGGACCCAGCTCTGCGTGTTACCTGTGAGTGAAGGTTGATGGAGGGCTGGTTGGGGGAGTAGGGCCCCCCTAGGTCATTCCTGAGCAGGTTATCGCTGTGCATCTTGGTTTTGAGGCAGGTGATGTAACGGTTACAAAAGTCCTTGCAGAGTTCATTGACTTTCTCCAGCTCCAGCAGGTGGATTCTCAGGACCTGGATTGCCTTCACCATCTGTGGAGAGGGAGGAGAGGTGAGCCCAGGTATTTGCATCCCATTCCCCTCACTGCCTGGACCCCCAGCCCCCACTACCCCAGGGGAGGGGAGCCCATCCCCTGCCCTAGCTCATGCTTCCTACACTTGATCTTGGCCAAAAGGTCCAGAAGCGGTAGGCAGTGCCTTCTCATCCCCATGACTTCAGTTCTAGTGACGGCTCTCTGCTGACTATTTCTTTGCTCTGAGCCCTCTGTTATTACAGCTTTCTTGAGGCAGTTGTGGGATTCTGAGAACAGCACTGGCCTTAGTGATGGAAGGCCAGGTCCAAGTCCCGGGCCTGTCATTTACTATCTGTGTAACCTTGCGCAAGTTAATTAAGCTCTCTATGCCTTAGTGTCTAACAAATGGGGATAACTATATTCTCCCTGACAACTTTACAGGTTTTTTGTGAGTGTTGTATGAGGGCGTATACTTGGTAGCACATTGTGAGGTGTGAAGGACCAGGCAAGCATGAGGAAGACGAAGATCAGAATTTCTTATAAGTGCCCCTAGAGCTCAGGGACTGTCTATTCTTAAACACGCATTCTGAGTGCCTCATGGGATACCCGTCACCTTGTGGACGCTCTGTGGATACTTGCTGATGGACTGAATAATCCAACATGACTTAGCTGGGCACCAGCTACCTCACTGTCTGTTGTGGCCTTTTCCATGCCCTTTGGATTGCTGTACGGGAGCCTGCTGCCTCTTCAAATGGACATTCCTAACCTTTTCATGGCAAGAAGCTATTTTGCAATTGAAGCTTTGCTCTTTACTGCTGTTATTATCATAAAAAGAAAATACTATGGAAGGTATGGAAGGCAGGGTGAAAAAAACCTGTCTTTGATCCAATCACCCTACAGAATGATGATTTTTTCCCCACACACATATATTTTAACAAAGTTTCAATAACCTTGTGCATGCAATTTTGTTGTTTTTTTCCCCTAGTTTAGCAAACCTATTTTTCTAAGTGCCAGAATTGTCTTCTCTATCCTTTCTTCTAGACTATGAGCTTTGAGAAGGCAGGGATGATGTCTAATTTGCTCACCATGTTATCTTCAGCACCAACACATATGGATACAGAGTAAACATTTGCTGAATGGGTGAAAGTTATTGAGTAAATATATTTTTAAATGTTGCATATTATTTCATGTGTGTGCCATACTTAACCAGTCCCCTATTGTTAGGTATTTAGATTACTTCCAATTTTTCAATTTCATAAAAAATGTTATAGTGAATATTTTCTAAGCTTATTGCTTTTTTTTTTTTTTTTAATGTTCCTGCATTATTTTTTAGGATGAATTCCCAGAAGTGACAGGAAAAAAAGCTATGCACGTTCTTATGGATTATGATAAATATTGCCAAATTGCGTTTCAACAGGGGGTTGTTCAAATGGTGCTGGAACAATTAGACATCCGTATGCAAAAAAACTGAATCTTGATTTAAACCTCATACCTTAGATAAGATTAACTCAAAATGGATCACAGACATAACTGTAAGACATAAAACTATAAACATCTTTAAAAAAACCGGAAAAAATCTTCAGGATCTAGGCCAAGGCAAAGAGATCTTAGAGTTGACAACAAAAGCATGATGAAGGCCGGGCACAGTGGCTCATGCCTGTAATCCCAGCACTTTGAGACGCTGAGGCAGGCAGATCACTTGCGGTCAGGAGTTCGAGACCAGCCTGGCCAACATGGTGAAACCCCATATCTACTAAAAATACAAAAATTAGCCAGCGGTGGTTTTGCATGCCTGAAGTCCCAGCTACTTGGGAGGCTGAGGCAGGAGAATCGCTTGAACCCAGGAGGTGGAGGTTACAGTGAGCCGAGATCAAGCCACTGCACTCCAGCCTGGGCGACAGAGCGCAAATCCGTCTCAAAAAAAAAAAAAAAGATGATCCAGTGAGGAACTGGACCCTGTTAAAATTAAAAATGTTTACTCCTCAAAAGACCCTGTGAAGAAGATGAAAAGACTACATACTGGAGGAGAATATTTGCAAACCAAATATGTGACAAAGGACTTGTATCTGGGATATATAAAGAACTCTCAAAACAAAACAGTAAAATAACAAGCAACCCAATTAGAACATGGTCATAAGACATGATTATACATTTCACTGAAGAGGATACACAGATGGCAAATAAGCACATGAAAAGATATTCAATGTCATTAGTCACTAGGGAAATGCAAATTAAAACCACAATAAGATATCACACCTATCGGCATGGTTAAAATAACAAAAAATATATATGACAACACCAAATGCTGGTGAGGAACTGGAGACTAGAACACTCAGACATTGCTGGTGAGAGTGTAAAATGGTACAGCCACTCTGGAAAACAGTATGACAATTTTTACAAAACTAAATACGTGCATACCATGTGACCCAGCAATTGTACTCTTGGGCATTTATCCCAGAGAAATAAAAACATACGTTCTTACAAAAACCTGTATACAAATTGTTCAAAGCAGCTTTACTTCTAATAGTCAAAAATTGGAAACAACCCAAATGTACTTCAATGGGTGAATGGGATAAAGAAACTAATTCATCCATATCATGGAATATAAGTCAGCAATAAAAAAGAACGAACTATTGATATGCCCAACAATGTGGATAGATTGCAAGGAAATTTTGCTGAGAGACAAAAGCCAGTCTCAAAGGATTATATACTATATGATGCCATTTACATAACATTTTTGAAATGACAAAATTATAGAGATGGAAGACAGATTAGTGGTTGACAGCGGTGGAGTGGAGGAGGGAGGGAGGAACTGTTCTGTACCTTGCTATAACAATGTTTATGTGGAACTAATTACATGTACACACACGCACACACACACACGAAGGCATGTAAAACTGGTGAAATCTGAATACAGTTGGTGGATTGTTCCTGGCTGTGAAATTGTGCTATGGTTATACAAGATGTGAATCAGGAGCTCTCTGTGTGAATTCTTATAACTGCATGTGAATCTACATTTATATCAAAATTAAAAGAAAAAAATGCGGAGGAAGGTGATGCTTATTGCTTTTCCAGATCCATTTATGTTGACGCAAGCAATATATGGGATCTCTATTTAATCCCACCCTCCTAGCTTTTGGCTAGCTCCTGGACGCCTAGAGGAGAGTTTGGACAATGTAAAAAGGGATGAAAACAAGGAAGGAAATCTCTCCCAGAGAACTGTGACTGTGAGGTGTGTGTAGAGCAGTGTGGCTTGAAGCCAGCATTACACCCTTCTCTGTGCCTTACTGGCATTTCAAGTGGGGAGCCCACATTCCCTGGGCTGGGCCTGTGGCTTGGCTGATGAGCAGGGATTGTGCTCAACTAATTAAAGGTTTTTGGAGTACTAAATTAGACCAAGTGTCACTCAAAGACAGAAAGCAGTGATTGTGTGTCGTCATGCAGGGCTCAGTCACAGGGTCTCCTCCTAAGAAGTGCCACCTCCGTGGGGCTGAGTCTGAGGGAGACTGAGCCATCCTAAGCAAAGAGGAGAATGGTGACTTTAGAATGGATCATTTGGACCCCAAAGTGGAGTTAGGTACTTAATAAAGATTTATTCTTGCCTAATGTTCTACTTGACTTTGGCCATGAACATCTTGGTCTATGTCTCTCAGTCTAATGAGCACAGGATAACCTACTTAACAGATATGTGTTGCTGGATTGATAATAATACCCAAACGTTTCTTATTCATACTGTGTCTCAGGCAATGTGGTAAGCCCATTCCAGGCCTTATTTGTTCCACACAACCATCTCATTAAGTAGTTACCATTATTGCTCATATTTTGCAGTTGAAGAAAATAAAATCCAAAAATATTATGTTTCCATGCTTAGAGTCACACAACTGGTGAGCAATGTGAAGCCAGGTTGCCCCACCCCTGACCTGTGTGCCTTGTCTTTCAATACGGACTCTCAGGATTATGTAGGTAGAGGAAGTGACAGTGTAAAGGGTGCATAGTTTGGGAGAAAGTGACTCAGTGACAGCAATTATGGGGTTCTAGGAAGCCAAATAGCTTTTGAGACATTACAGTTTAGGATTTCCAGAACCTTCCTGGTAATGTGCCTTTTCTCGACTGCTCTGATCTCCCATCTCTCACTCTTGGCGCAGCCCCCTGGTGTCGGAACACCTCACCAACACAGGTGTCTGCTTCTCCATGTGCACATGGAGAGGGCTGGACTGTCAGGTCTCTTATGTTTTCTGACTCTCTGAACATTACCAGGACTTCTGCCCTCAATTCATGCCTGATGGTGTTAGAATGAACCCCACACGATGACCTGGACCAGCCTCTAGGTGGCTGCACCATCCAAACTCACCAGGACACAGGCTGCATCTTCTCCTCCAGCCTCTCCTGGTCCCTGGGAGATGACCTTATTGCCTCGGACCATCTCCATATTCTCTTAATCTGCTGATTAAGAAGCTTTTCCTTATATTCAATCAAAATCTCTCCCGCCTTAATGTAAAGTGCCTTCTGTAGGTACCAAGAACATCAAGGAACTTCTAGGACCTCTATCAACACAACTTCTTTTAATTTTATTTTGTTCATTGAACAAGTATTAAGTCTTACTATATGCCACGTATTAGACCAGCCATCTGACTTGAACAAGTTGGTCAATTAACTTTTTTTTTTTTTTTTTTGAGACAGAGTCTCACTCTGTCGCCCAGGTTGGAGTGCAGTGGCATGATCTTGGCTCACTGCAAGCTCTGCCTCCTGGTTCATGCCATTCTCCTGCCTCAGCCTCCTGAGTAGCTGGGACTACAGGTGCCCGCCACCACGCCCGGCTAATTTTTTTATTTTTATTTTTATTTTTAGTAGAGACGGGGTTTCACCATGTTAGCCAGGATAGTCTTGATCTCCTGACCTTGTGATCCGCCCGCCTCAGCCTCCCAAAGTGCTGGGATTACAGGCATGAGCCACCATGCCCGGCCTTTCTCTTCTCTAGACAAAAACGATCGTCATTCCTTAAACCTTTCTTCTCTTTCC